GCTAATATATGCACTAGCGTCTGAACTAAGTAATGAGTTATTAGCCAAGCAGTCATGTGATCTACGTCTGAATCACCATTAACAGGCAGCTGCATGTGTAGTATGTACGCATGAATTATTTTGCAGTGCTTAAGACTAGAGTCTGAGACCCTAAACCGGAACTCTAAAGCAAAATCAAAAACCCGTAGTCCATTCTGCCATGAAGAGTTCACCGAGGTTCACATTTGTATCAAGTTGCCTTTCGTGTTTGATGATTCCTGGGGAAGTGATTGCCGCTAACAAAGTATGTACCTTCTAATATGAGCCTTCATTGGATAGAGTTTAACGAAGCCACTTAGACCGAATATCTTCGATGCCGATTCCCAAGTAGGAAGAAAATTGGGAAAACTTCTTCACATCTGCTCTTTGACAGCCAACGCGCAGATAGTTTTTCCGTTATGTTAGCTAAAGTTCTCTGAACAGTGTCACGTTAGTGATTGTCAATTGGGATTGATAATATCCGTTTCCGGGGCATGTCTGCCTCAGCCGCAGACATAGCTTCGGTTTTCGGTGCCCCCAGAGGAACGTGACAACCTGAACCCTTTATGGTTTTCGTTTTTTTTACAAAAGAGGACGCGTGAGCGCTGAAACACGCGCCTATATGTGGTGTGTTTATATTTATGAGCCAATCAAGACTGCCCAGTTTCGCTCAGGCTGAATACAAACCAAATAGGTACAGCGCAGCAGTGTTGTAGCCGAGCCTCGGCCAAGGAATTTTGGTAACTTGCGTGTGCACACGCTATCAGATGTGCTGATGTTGCTCATTCACCCGACGGTGCGCCTACGGTTAAGTCAAAATCTGACAGCTTGAAAGGTGACTCTACAGGACACCACAAAGTTCCACCTGCACTAGCTTTCATGAATGGAAACTATTTATCTGTCCTTAAAGAGGTGACTGCAATGATCTACGCGGTTCTGCTAGTCCTCTTGTCAGAGGCCGTCTGCTATGTCATGGCTCCAGGCGAGGTAGGTCGCAACAGTTTATGCGATTTGAGTGGCCTGCTCCATTTGATGATGATCATCTGTGAGGAGTTATTCCACAGGCAACTAAATGTGTCTCATAATATTTTTTTCCTGAGCATCACGAACTACTTCTCGAGCAGTTTCTAGCCAAAAAAAGGTATGAGCCGCATTTTAAGACCCACTGTCCTTAACCTTTTGATATATTTAGGTATTTTAACTTAGGCGTTCGCTACCTGTTCTATTCAAAGCATTCATTCAGACAGATAGTAGTACCGGCAAAGATAAGGGAGACTGGAATGGTCATTTCTGGCTTATTAGCCGTCGTCAGCCAGTCGTACACAGACCCAAATGGCATCCCACTCGAGCTTCGAACTTGCGACCTCTTTGAACAGAGTCAAACACCCTAACTACTGAGCCACGGGCTCGTTGCCTTTTCGGGTTAGGTCGGGAGGATATTGACACTCATTGATGAACGTTCACCTGACCGCTAACGGAACTGATCTGTGCCGTTCTGTCTGGCGCCTCGACAGAGGCCCTGACAGCCATAGCAATTGGTAGTGTAGGCATATAGTATTGCCGGCAAAGACAGGGAAGACTGGAATGGCCATTTCTGGCTTATTAGCCGTCGTCAGCCAGTCATACCCAGACGCAAGTGGCTTCAAGGTTTTCCAAGTATGTCCATCCAATTGAATTCCAGTACGGCACTTCATAGAACAAGGACCTTTAAGGGTGCTGCGGATTTGCATCTAAAAACCAGGCAGAAAAATGACTAGTCTGGGAATGTTTGTTGCTTACTGGATAACAGTACAAATTATCCTTAGCTATGTAGCCTCCACCGAAAGCAGTCATGTAGCGACCAGTAGGAACAGGAAAGAAGTGAAAACGAGCATACAGATTGGGTTGGAATTTCGCGTCAACAGGTAGAACCGAAACGTAGGTTTGGACACGCCGGGCACCTTTGTGGTTGAGCCTTCAGTGCAACGAGGAGTCAGCGGAGACACATCGAGGATAACGTAGGCAGATAGTATTACCATCAATATCTCTCGACCTAATCCGGCAAGACAACAAGCTCGTGGCTCAATGGTTAGGGCGGTTGACTCTGATTAACGAAGTCATGAGTTCGACGCTCGGGTGGAACGCCACTTGGGTCTGGATACGACTAGATGGCGACGGCTAATAAACCAGAAATGACCATTCCAGTCTCCCTTGTCTTTGCCGGTAATATTACCTGCCTATATTACCAGCTCTTACGGCTGTCAGAGCCCCTGGCGAGACCCCAGGCCGAGCGGGACAGATGATTTCCGTTAGCGGCCGGGTGAAAGTTCATCAATGAGCATCAAGGATAAGTTGTCCTGTTGGGTATGAATGTCAATTGGTATTAGTGTAGTGCGCTGGGGGATGAAGGGAACAAGATAGCTAGGCATGCTATTGAACTTGGAAGTCTAAATGGGTCAGCGTTTTGATTATCAAACATTTTCAGTCGAAATAAGTAGTCATACACTTTTAGTATTCAATTCATGTGTCAGCAGCTTTGTACGAAGTCGTACGAGAAACAAAGGAAATACTTACCGAACTCACGTCCGCCTCCAGTAATTTTTCATAATGATTGCG